TGGGGGAAGATGGAGAATCCCTGGTTCCGGGAAAGCCCCTCCCCTGGCTGCACAGCTGACCTCTGACGCCACAGGGCTCCCACTTGAATCGGCACAGACTGCAGCAGGCACCTCGGCCTTGGTGGCACTGTACCAACCTCTGGGGTGGGAGCAGGTGCAGACCCAGCTGAGACCCCCGCCCTGACCCGTAGTCCAGCCCCCACTGCAGGGCCTCTCTGTCCTGAGTCCTTGGAGATGCATGGAGCCCCCAGGTGAGCTCTCATGGCAAGGTCCCAGGGCCCCATCCTGGGCAGCCCCCTGACAGAAGGGTCTGCACTCCCAGCCTAGGAGCACGAAGCCTTCTACAACTCGGCCCTGAGCATGGTGAACCAGCCCAGGTGCCTGCAGCACCTGGCCCGACTAGCTGTATGGACTTGTTTGGGGAGCCGCTGCCGCCAGGCCGCCCCCTGGCTACCGCTGCCTCCGCTCCTCAGGGGCTACCTGCTGCTGCGAGTGGAGGGCCGCATCCAGTGAGCCCACCCCTCTGCCTGTGCCCAGCTGCTCCTGCCATGGCCCCCCTCCTGGTCAGCCCACCCCTCTGGGGGCTGACCTCCAGCCCAACCTGAGACTCCACCGTCACCGCCTCCCCCGCTGCGCCCAAGCGGTGGCCCCTCTGTCCTCCCTGTGGGCCATCAGGTCCCTCCCCTTAGGCCCGTTCAGCCTCCTGAGAGAGGCCAGCTCTGCCTCTGCCTTCCCGACCAACTTCTGTCATCTCAAGGGAGGTCTGAAACCCATGCCTTGAGTGGAGGCCGGAGGGACCCTTGGGAGTCCCAACTCTGACTACTCCCTTCAGTGGCTCCTGGCTACATTCAGGCTAAAATCAAAACTCCGTAAAGCAGAGCCGCTGGGCCTGCTCAGACCTGGCCTCTGCCCAGGTCCCTAATCCAGCTCTCCCGTCCAAGGCTCCTGTGATCCCTCTGCAGGGAACGAGTCGCCAGGGCTGGGGACAACATGCTTCTCATGCACAACAGCCTCCGTGTGTTTGCTTGCGTTGTTCCCACTGCTTGGTACACTGTTCCACATGTGGAGCATTTGACCCTCAAGACTCAGTTCAGGCGGGGAACGGTGACTCACGCCTGTAATCCCAGCACTTTGGGAGGCCAAGCCTGGAGGATCACTTGAGCCAGTAGTTCAGGACTAGCCTGGGCAACATAGATGTCTGTATAAAATAATAATAATAATAAAGAAATAATTGTAAAAAAAAAAAGTATCCGTTCAAACAGCACTGTCTCCACAGAGCCCTGGGAGGCTTTCGTCAACACTAAATTAAATGCCTCTGATGCCTCAACTGGGCTGAGCCTGGGACCGTCTTCCTTGACGGACATCTCAGTAAATGCTTGTTGACGGAGGAGTGTGCAGGGGCCTGCGTCCATTTATGGTGTGCTCCCCCCGCAGTGGCCCCTGGTACCTCAAACCTGTGTTTGCTGAGGTCCTGTCACAGGAGCACGGGCACCAGCTGTGCCCCCTTCTTCTTCCTCTGGCCTCGGCGTTGAGAGAGCCACAACACAGCTCTGGGAGGAAGCTTTCAAGACAAGCAGGTTTGGTTTTTTTCCCCTTTTTTTGATCTGGGAGTCTTACTCTGTCGCCTAGGCACGCTCACAGCCACTGTAGCCTCAACCTGCTGGACTCTGGCCATCCTTCCAACTAGCTGGAACTACAGGCATGCACCATCACGCCCGTCTAATTTTTCTTGATTTAATGTAGACGGGAGGTCTCGCCGAGCTGCCCAGGCTAGTCTCGAACCTGTGTGCTCAGGCAGTCCTCTTACCTCGGCCTCCCAAAGTGCTGGGATTATAGGCGTGAGCCACCGTGCCTGGCCCCAAGCAGGCTTTTATGAATGTAAACAAATGAGTTGTGCTCTGAATGGAAGTGTGGATGTCACTGGGTTTAAACGTGACCAAGGTCCTCATCACTTTGTGTTTATTCCCCCCCTTTGTGTGGCTCTGTGGTTTCCAAGTTCTCTGCCCTGAGCAACTGTTATAAGAACAAAACAAGGGCCGGGTGTGATGTAGTCCCAGCTACTCAGGAGGCTGAGGCTGGAGGATGGCCTGAACCCAGGAGATCGAGGTTGCGGTGAGCTGTGATTCTGCCACTGCACTCCACCCTGGGTGACAGAGTGAGACCTGGACCCAAACCAAAACAACAACAACAAAAGAACACAAGGTCCTCACAGGCCCAGGCCCAGCACCTGCAGCACCACCAAGGGAGGGAAGAGGAGAGCATCCTGGCAGCTGCCCCCTGGCTAGCAGTCCTCCTGCAGGGGGATCCGGAAGACCTGAAGTGGGTCTCCTGCAGCCTCTACCAAGGGCCCCTGCACTGGGGAGCTGTGTTTGTGGGGATTCCTGGTCAATAACAAACACAGTTTTTTCACCTTGTTATGCTTCCCCTTTCTGAATGAGATTATTGCCCTTAGTTTCACAGACCCAAGAGGCCAGAGAAAAGGAACTTCTCCAAGTCCTGGGCCTAGGCTGGGTGCCCCACTCTCAGGGGACGATGCTGAGCATTCCACCATTTTTTGTCTGAGTCGGAGTCTCACTGTCACCCAGGCTGGAGTGCAGTGGCACATTCACAGCCACCACAGCCTGGACCTGCTGGGCTCAGGGGATCCTTCTGCCTCAGCCTTCCAAGTAGATGGAACTACAGGCAGGCGCCACCACGCCCAGCTAATTTAAAAAAAAAAATTTATTGTAGAGATGAGGTCTCGCCAAGTTGCCCAGGCTGGTCTCTAATCCCCTGGACTCAGGCAATCCTCTCACTTCCGCCTCCCAAAGTGCTGGGATTACAGGCATGGGCCACCACACTCAGCTAATTTTTTGATGTTTTGTAGAGACAAGGTCTCACTATGTTGCCCAGGTTGTTCTTGAACCCCATGGGCTCAAGCAATCCTCTCGTCTTCACCTCCCAAAGTGCTAGGAGGGTTACAGGAGTGAGCCACTGTGCCGGGCCCTTTCCACCCTTTCACCACAGGCAGACTCCAGTCAGCTGGGCCTCCTATTAATTGTATAGCTACAACAAGATACCCATTAAAAAAGAAAAACAAGGCGGGCTCGGTGACTCAGCCTGTAATCCCATGCCTTGGGAGGCTGAGGTGAGTGGATTGCCTGAGCCTGCAGGTTCGAGACCCGCCTGGGCAACTTGGCAAGACCTCATCTCTACAACAAATCAAAAATTAGCCAGGCGTGGTAGCACGCACCTGTAGTTCCAGCTACTTGGAAGGCTGAGGCGGGAGGG